AGCTTAAAGCCCCTGATGGCTCTGGGCGCTGACTCTCACCAGTGGCTATGGATGAAGTCACAGGCGATTTTCAGCCAGCGCCTGGAGATAATTGGTAATCTCTTAAGTGAGGACAATTTAATTGATTTTGGTTTTTGAGGTAGGTGATTTAATCAGTTTGATTTTTGCTTACCTGATTCTTTTCTTTTTTCCCTTTTTAAGTGGATGAATTTAGGGTGGTTTCTCTCAAATTGCTGCAGACACATTTTAAGAAATCTTTCAATGATCAGAGAGTGAGCAGAGTGGAATTCCTCCCCGTTCACTGGCACGGTTCCCTGGGTGGGGCTGCCACAGGTGTTGACAGGTTTGTGGATTTTGATAATTTATATTCAGATCAGTCAAACTTAGATTCAAACTTGAAGTTCATAATTTTGAAGTAGTTTTATTTTGACTTGATATTTCTTTTTTTAATTTATTCGCTCTCACCTGTTACCATATTTTCCCAAGTAACACGTCTGTACAGCATGCATAGGAAACTAAGAAGTGCAGCAATTGTGTGGTTTGGGAAAAGCAACTGTAGTGCATGTGGTATTTGCATTAATGTATGACACTGGCAATTAAGTTTATATGCTAATTTTCAATGTCCATCTTTGTATGCTTGTTACAATTGTAAAGAAAATTTAGGACTTCAGCTCCTTTTAAATACTGTTCTAATTTATGTTGGTGAGTGGCCTGTGTGGTGGTGTGTGTTTCACAACATACTCTGTTTGCTTGACTCACTAGAGACCAGTAGTTCCCCTCTTCTTCCTCTACCTAGTAACTGCTGAAAATATCTCTGGATGTTGCCAAACATCCCTTGGCAAATGGAATCTCCCCTGGTGTTTGGGATGTTTGAGATTTTTATTTCTCAGTGGAGATGCATTTGGCACACTAGTCTTTTATTGTGTAAGATGTTTGTGTGCTTTAAAAGCCACGCGATACCATTTCTCCGAATCCACTGCCATTAGCACTTGCCAGGCACGTGGACAACTCGGAACACTTCAGTAGTTTTTCAGATGCTCCTGTTGAGAAGCATGGGTTTAGATAATATTCATGCTTGGCTACAGGGTGAATAGCATGTCTGGCTTTTAAAGGAGTGTCCTACTATTTTAGGGCACATGGTTCTTGAACATTAGTCCCACAGACAGCAGTGTCTTTGTGTTAGGCCCTGCCATAAGGTGTTTCCTTCCTGCACAGATGTTGATGACCTGCTTTGTGACTGTTCTCAAATTGAGGCTGCTTTTAGTTCATGCAGCATCTTCCTTATTCCTTGCTGTGGTCCCTGTTGTCTTTCCCACCAGCAGTTTTTGTGCATTATCTTGATTTCCAGTTGGAAGAAAAACAGACATGTACACTTGTCCTCTTTAGATGTGAAGTGGCAGTATTTGCAGATTATTTTATGTAGTAGAACTCAGAACCAATCCCATATTCATAGGATAGTCAAAGGTCCAAGTAGCACTTTTCCCCTATTTTGATTTCCTAATAATTTTTTCCTACAGAATCAGTTCATAATTAATGTGTGTGGTTTTGTATCTCAATGTGCTCTTGGGCATCAAAGTCTGAACAGCTTGTTAAAATTTATAGGTAAGGTTGATACTGACTGAAAGGACTTTATTTTTTTCCTTTTAAACAGGAGTATTAAGAAAATCACTTTACCAAGTATTGGTCGGTTCCGTCACTTTACCAATGAAACCTTGCTAGATATTTTGTTTTACAATAGCCCCACCTACTGCCAGTCGATTGTGGAGAAGGTGGGAATGGAGATGAACCGGCTGTATGCACTCTTCTTGAGCCGGAACCCAGACTTCAAGGGAGGCGTCTCCGTCGCTGGCCACAGTCTAGGTAAAGCTGCTGGATGTGTGTGTGTGTGTTTTAAAGAGAGTTTTTAATGAGCCATCACCGCTTTCAGTTCAGGTCGTGTTAGGGTAAGATTTGGAGTTAGAGGCCCATGAATTTTGTAAAGTAGAAATGCTTGGAGTTCAGATTTCACCTTTTCTGTTCACCTCTGCTACCACTTGTGGATTCTTTTGTATTTTCATCTATTCTTGCAGGGCTGAGCAAATCTTGGTTTTTCAGTTCTGATGATCAAATATTTATTAACAGCTAACTTTTGTATACTTGTGCTATGGACTTTGGGGGAAAAGATGAGAGAATGTATTTAGTGGCATCATTTATTCATGGCATCACCTCATTCATCATTAGCGCTGTGCTTCTTTCCTTAGGTTCTTTAATACTGTTTGACATCCTGTCTAATCAGAAAGATCTGAATTCATCAAAGTCTGTGGCGCCCGCTGCTGTTGCTAATGGAGTTGTGAAGCCGACGCATTTTCTGGAAAAGCAGGTAGCTCGTGTGGCTTAGTTAACATCGAGCTGCCCAGATTTCCAAAACCTGCACTCTGTCTGGAAGAGTTTTGTATTTTAAAATACATTCAGGCTGAGGCCTGCAATGGAATCACAGAAGTAATTTTTGAGTTTCTCAGTTGACCCTTTGTCTTTTGCATTATAAAGTCAAATGTGAGAAAGTTTATAATTTAAAAAATGAAAGAATAGATTATTGTAGAAAATGGGAGTATGAGTGATACAGAAAATTGAAATACATCCTAGAATACTTAAACTTTGGATGATACTTAAAATTACAGTTTTGTGTTTTGAGCAATATTGTTTAATAAAGAATCTTGCTAGATTAGGAAAGACATTTTGTAGTTTTCTGTGCTTTGTAATGCCTTCGCTTTTTATTTTTAAGGTGACAGAAGAACCAAAACTGGCTTTGGATGAGTCTTGTGATCTTGATGTTGAAAATGAAGAAGTCCTCACTTTGCGGGGCACCCTGGAAGCACTTAGCCTGTCTGAATATGTCACTACCTTTGAAAAGGAGAAGATGGACATGGAGTCTTTGGTACTGGTGACATTTGAGTAGTTTTTGTATAAATGTGTATACAATTAAAAATTAAGACTGAGTCACTCTTACATCAACATGCATCCCAGTTAGTCAAAGATTTAAATACTTTTTAGGTATTTAGGTTTAAGCTTTTTAGGTTAAAAACCAACAAGAGTTTTGTGTTTTAAAAAGTAATCTAGGTACATATTTCTAAGGATGATGCAAAACCCAGAAGACATAGCAGATAGAAACCACATGCAGAAGAAGCCATGCACAATATTAAAAAGACAGGGTGAGGAACAGTAATCAGAGCACACGCTGCAGGCAGAGGGCTTGTTCCTCAGTGTGTAAACCTGCTGGCCAGTTACAGGTCATCCACCAGTAGGAAAATAAGCAAAAAAATATGAACAAGTGGTTCACCAAGAAGACAATAGGAAATTACTCCCTAATGTAAAAACTTCTAATAAGAGAATGAGAAGTTTAATAGGGGGAAAAAAATAATTAATGTATCTGTGTGGCAAAGGAAAAATGGATCATATACTATATGACCAGACTGAGCAGAAGCACGATGACTTGATATTATTGATGGAATGTAAATTGGTGCAGCTTTGTTGGAGGCAGTTTGAAGTTCCATTGCAGGAATGTGTCTTGTAGAGATACTTATGGGAGAACATACATAGGGAAACCCACTGCAGGATTCTTTGTACAAGCAAAGCCTTAGCAGTCTCTGTATGTCCACGAGGAGGGCACTAGCTGAATGGGATGTTGTGTGTCTACATAGTGTGTTATGGGCTTGTTATGCCTATAGTGTGTCTTCATAGTTGGGTGCCCAGTTTTTGCATGACTGAGGCAGTGTGGCAAAGACTAGTGTGGCCTGATCTCAGAGGTGTAAGAGGCCATGTGAGAAAGACCCGTCAGAACTGTGTGCCCAAGTGGCTCTGTCCACAGAAGAGTACCACAGACACACTCTCCACAGATGAGTGCCACAGACACACACACTCTCCACAGATGTGTGCCACAGTATCTGGAAGAAGGCCTCTGGGACAGCCGTTGCTGCGAACTGGAGAGCTGGTTGGTTGGCACAGGAGTGAAGGAGAGAGGTTTTGTTGTATGTGAAAGCTTTCATGTTTGTACCACGTGCCTATATTTTCTCTTCAAAATGAAAAATAGATGATTTCGTTTTGAAGACATAACACTCCACAGCTCCAATTAGCACAACTTAAAACAAATAGTTTTATAGTTGACCAGTTACTAGGTTGCTTTAGAGGATTGAATTTCATTTTATAATTTTCTTTTATCTGTATCCTTCTATATGTACATACCTGTCTTTGTAATAATCTTACTCTGATTCTGTTTAGTACAATTTTGTTGTAATGTATGATTTTCTTATTCTCATTCATTTCCTCTGTTGCTTGATTGATTGATCAGTGTGCTTATTTATGTCCCTTTGAAGCTCATGTGTACAGTCGATGATCTGAAGGAGATGGAGATACCCCTGGGACCCAGGAAGAAGATTGCTAATTTCGTGAAACATAAAGCAGCCAAGCTGGTAAGGCCCCACTGCCTTCCCCTTTCAGCAGTCGGACCCGCTCGTTTGCTGGGGCATGGTTGGAAGCCCAGACCTTGGAAGCAGCTCAAATACCAGTTAGGGTGACTGGCTGGCCTGCTTCTCCAGGGGCTGAGGCAGTTTTAAAAATGCAGTACCTTGAATTGTGAAGCTTATAATCAGGATTTTCTGCAGTAAAACCTCCAAGTTCCTGGGTAAGGTGGCACAAATTGGTCATTGTAATTCCCATCTCAGCCAATTATAGCTGCAGATTTGTGAGTGATTTACTTAATTTTTCTTATTTAATTTTATTTCTGAAAGGCACTGACAGTATACTTCCTTCATAAATAAGTTTGAGAATGCTCATCTAGATGATAATTATGATAAAAACAAAAGGGGGGAAATATGGGAAGCCATACTAAATATTTGTAATAAACTGAATGCTATTGATTAAAAAAAAATTTGAGAATGAAATGGTGTGGGTGAAACTTAGTGCTAATGCTTTTTTTCTCCACTGCCTCAACCCATCTTTCCATCTAAATGTTTAAAGAAAGACACACATATGCACGCACACACACACACACACACAGTGTAAAGATGATGGTATTTCATCCAATAAAAAAAGCAGTCATCTTAAGTAATGCAAAAGAAATGGATAGGAGTAACAGCAGCAGCAGTAGCAGCAACAATAACAGAAAAAAAAAGATACTCAATAACTAGGAGAAGACACAATTGTTTTAATTTAATTTCTTGTTCAAATTTATTTCACAGAACTCTTTGTAGTTAGAAAAATTATGAGAAGAATTTAGTTAAATCATGTAGGCAAATTATCTAGTAAGAAAAAAATTAGCAAAGTCTCTTAGGATGTCTACCGTATTAACCTGAATCTGGTGATGCATTTTTTAAATGTCTGTGGTTCTTGTTTGGGACTTAATATGGACTACTGTGATATTTGTAATATGGCTATGAAGTCTAAGACTGATCTTCTCTGTTTACCTTCAGGAATTCTGAGTCATTCAGAATGTTTATGTATTGCGTAGCTTTTTTGAATCAAGCACTGTCTCAGTTTCTTGGCATGTGGAGTTGAACAAGGGTGTACAGTCCCACTTTGGAGGGAGACAGGACCACAGATGATGGCCATCAGCCTTTTGACAGGCTGTCCGAGCTGCCAGCTGGAGGAAGGGAGTAGTTGTGATGCAGGGAGAAAGGGCTGGGGCTGCTGAGTTTAAGCATTTGAAGGAGGCAGAGGGTCAGTGGGAATGGCCTTAGAGGAGCAGACGTGGGCTTTCCTATGGAAGAAACGTGAGATGAGCTGGGAGTGGGCAGGCAGGTGAGACTCTTGAATGCCTGCTTGCTAGGTGTGCGGTGTGGCTCACACACCTGCATTGTTCTTATTGTGACTGAGCAGTCACGCAGTCCTGGTTCCTTGACCAAGCACTAGAAGGCTGTCTGCTGTGGTCAGTTTGCTTATTCTCCTGTGAGTTGAGCTCCTCTTTCCTTTCAGCAGGAATTTCTTGGGGAAGTTGTTTGAGAACCCCTGCCGAGGGACAGGAGGTGTTGGGGGCAGCGCTGTGACTGGATTGGTGTTCACGTTGATGCTGGTGTAGAGGCTTAGTGGGCGGGATGAAGCTGGAGGCTGTCGGGGATGCCAGTACCATAAGAGAATCCCACGGGAGAGGTTTAAGAGACAGTCGTGCTAAAGGAGGAAGTTTGAGATGTTCTGAAGGAATTTGCAAAAAACAAAGTCAAGAATTGATGGTATCAGTTGACACATTTCAGCAAACAGATGCAGCCCTGGAAGTGCCATCAGGCTGTACCAAGAAATCTGGAGGACAGCTACCTGGCCAGCTGACTAGAAGAGACCTATATTTATTCCCATTTCAAAAAATGGTGATTCAAGAGTACGGAAATTATTGAACACTATCACTAACAGTCGAACTCTGGTCTTGCCTAGTGGCAAGAAGCTGCGCTGTAATCTCGAAGGCACAGTGTTTGAGGCCACTAGCTGCTCCATGGGAGAAGGATGGGCAGTTTCCTCCCATGTGATTAACTGCCTCTGAAAACCTGGAGGATCAGCTATGGGTTGGTTCCAACTCTGTGGTAAACAACAACAATGACATCACTGATGTCACATGCAAGCAAAATCCTGCTGAAGATCATCCAAAAATAACTGGAAAAGTACATCAGCAGAGAACTGACAGATAGGCAGGCTGGGTTTAGAAGAGGGTGTGACACTAGGGACATTACAGCCAATGTTAGATGGATCTTAGCTGAAGACAGAGTGCCAGAGGAATGTCTTATCTGTGTTTCTTTGACTGTACAAGAGCATTTGACTGTGTGGATCACAACAATTTGTGGCTGACCTTGAGAAGAGTGGGAATCCTGGATTTCCACTTCATTGTTCTCATGGGAAACCTATACTTGGACCAGGAGGCAGTCCTCAGAACAGAGGACAGAAACATTACATGATTCAAAATCAGGAAAGGAGTTCATCAAGGATGCATCCTGTCTCCATAACTTTTCATTCTGTATGCAGAACAGATCATTTAAGAGCCTTGACTTTATGAGGAGGAATGTGACATCAGAATTGGAGGAAGACTCACAAGCAACCTGTGTTATGCAGATGGCACGCAACCTTGTTTGCCGAAACTGAGGAGGGCCTGAAGCATTTGCTGCAGAGGGTCAAGGACTGTAGTTTGCAATATGGATTGAAGCTCAACATCAAGAAAATAAAGATTCTCCACTGGGCCAGTTGGCAGCACCATGACAGATGGAGAAGAGACAGAGAGAACAGCTACGATATCAGTCTAGTGACTAAGCTACTCTCAATCCAGGCAGTTAACCTTGCAGTTACTTGCTGTACCTTAGAGAGGTGGATAGTGACCAAAGAGGACAGAAGAAGAATTGATGCCTTTGAGTCATGGTGCTGGGCAAGAGTATTGAACATACCATGGACTGCCCAGAGAACAGATAGATCTTGGAGAAGGTGAAACCAAGCTGCTGTTTGAAGGCAAGGATTTTGAGGCTCCTTCTCTCATACTTTGGGCATGTTGCCAGGAAGGACCAGTCCTTGGAGAAGAATATCCTTCTTTGAAGGGTAGAGGGACAGCACAGGAGATGGAGACCTATATGAAACGGATTGACCTAGTAACTGGTGTAATGATGGTAGTTGTGTGAGAGGCAGTGAGGTTGGTCCAGGATAGGGCACGCTTCAGAGCTCTTGTGCACAGGGTCTCTGTGAGTTGTGCTTGACTTGATGGCACATGACAACTAGAGAAGGTAATGAAGAGAGAGCTCAAGGCACGTTAGTCTTTGATGATGGGAATACTGTTTGGTTCTAGGATGATTAGGAATTGAGGAGGTTGTTCACTCTGGCAGTTAAACGTGGTTAGAGGTGTCTTCTGTCTCTTTACTACACGATGACTCGTGAGGGCAGGAGAGCCTGGCGACAGCTCTGTGAAGTCCGTCCGAGGCTGTCATCTCTCATGGCACAGTGGGCAGTCCAATAGGACTGGGCCCTAGCATGGTAGCGGTGTTCTTTTATCTAGCTGGTAAACTGTGCCTGCAAATGTGTATCCACCAGTGAAACCCAAGTCAGCAGAAAACTCAGAGAAGCAAAAGATGACAAGTTAAGGCTTCAGTCTCGAGTTAGCCCTTAGTTTTCATTTTGTAAGAGGAGGAAAAAAGAAGAAAGTATTCTGTAGTTGAGAAATTTCTTGAAAGAGCTCTGTTAATAGATTGCAGCTGCTTGGATCTATAAATTATGGCATTGTAAGAATGTTTTAAGAAGAGTGAAAATCTATAGCGTGATCTTATTTTTTAAATTCAGAAGTAATTGCTTCTGGATGAATCCCAGAGCATTCTTTGCCAAGTTCCCATTGATCGCTGGCGCATTTTTCACAGATAACAAGGTGCTGCCAGTTCAATAGCAACATCGTGATGTGTCCTATTGATTTGCTGTAACTGAAATAATTAGACCAAAATGAGCCAATTTTTATGAGAAGGAGATCAGATAGCTGTGGCCTGTGGGGATCCCCCTTTGTGGCTTGTTGGGGTTCTTCTTCTCTCCCTGCCTTTCTACACCATCTTTGTGATTTTCATTTTGAAAAAATTTTGGTCATGAAGAATACGTGTGCACTGGCTCTCCCACTTTTTGCTTATTGCCCATCAGCAGAGGAGCTGGACTAGTGGGTGTCAGCAGTAGAGTTTAGGATCGCAGTAGACAGTTGTCCTAGCAAGTTAGAGTGCTAAGTTATCAGAATGTAATGAGAAGTTCTTTTGAGGGACAAAGCAAATTTAAACTGACGTACACTGAAAAAGTGTTTTGGATTTTAGATTTAATCTTGTGTTTCTTGCCAAAGGCCAAGCTAGCCACCCTTTAAAAAGCTTCATGGTGGAAGGACTTATAAGCAAGCTGGCAAGGAGTTTTCTTTTCCTTATACTAATGTTTTAATTGAGCAATTGGAAGTCTTTCCAGATCTCCTGATATTATTGTTACGTGGCTGTTGAATTGACTGAATTCCAGTGACTCTGTCAACAACAGGTTGGCCGTATCCTATTCTCTGTCATTCTGCTGATCTTACCATGCTGAAGCATGATGCACGCCCAGCATGGAGGCATTCAGGAGTCTCACCTGCTTGCCCACTCCCAGCTCATCTCACGTTTCTTCCGTAGGAAAGCCCACGTCTGCTCCTCTAAGGCCATTCCCACTGACCCTCTGCTTCCTTAAATGCCCAAACTCCAGCCGCGGCACTTCTCAGCAGCCCCAGCCCTTTCTCCCTGCATCACAACTACTGCCTTCCTCCAGCTGGCAGCTCGGACAGCCTGTCAAAGGGCTGATGGCCATCATCTGTGGTCCTGTGTCCCTCCAAAGTGGACTGTACACCCTTGTTCAACCCCAAATGCCAAGAAACTGAGACAGTGTGCTTGATTCAAAAAAGCTACGCAATACATAAACATTCTGAATGACTCAGAATTCCTGAAGGTAAACAGAGAAGATCAGTCTTAGACTTCGTAGCCATATTACAAACATCACAGTAGTCCATACTAAGTCCCAAACAAGAACCACAGACATTTAAAAAATGGGTCACCGAAGTCATGTTAACACAATAAAGCAGACACCCTAAGAGACTTCTCTAGTTTTTTCTAACTATGTAATTTGACTCCATAATTTCTTCTCAATTTTTCTAACTGCAGAAAGATCTTACTGCTGAATTTCTAGTTTGTTCCTCTCTCTGGTTGGTGCTTCAGTAACTGCACCACCTCCTCATAGAAAGCTTTTGATAGCACTTTGTCACTGGTTTAATCTAGACTTAAGCCATGGAAACATTTTGAATGCAGAAATTTCTTCTATATTAACATCTTTATAGGATGTATATGTATTTTACAGTTACATGGTACTTCTAAGTGTAAAGAGATCATAAAGGGAAAGGTTGCCTTACAGTTTTTTATTACTAAAATTTAAAAGTCATATAAAAAGTAGAAGGATAATTATGTAGTGGTAGCTAATTTTTAGATTCGTTTTAGCTGTTTTTCCTTTCTAAGTTATTCTTTTTTCCTGAAGAATTTGTAAACTTCAGTTTGCTGTTAAAACAAGATGAGCTTAACATACTCAAGCCTCAGCATAGGCCACTTCCTAATTTAGCCTTTTTTTTCTGGAGAATTAAAAAATAAGTCCTTTTCTTGACACTGTGCAATGTAATGTATATCTCTAGAAAAGATGTTTTTCTCATAAGTGCAGTGCCATTATTGTAACTAACAAGTGAGCCCTTAATAGGAAGATGGCATGATTGCATGTGTCATGATAGCGGGGAACTCAGCTTTCCCCTGAGGTTTATTCTGAATTTTGCTGTTTTACAGGAGCAGAGAAAAGCCGCTTCAGAAAAGAAGGCAGCAATGGCCGCTTTAGCCAAGGGGCAGGAGGAGAGTGCTCAGAAAGCCAGGCAGGCGGGTTCGCGGCCCCCAGAGCCCAGCGAGTCGAAGCGGAGACTCCCGCTCGGGGCCTTTGTCTCCTCGGTGCATGTGGACTATGAGGCTTTCGAAGTCGGCACCGGACAGGCAGGTTCTCTTGTTGACCGGGCGGTGGTGGCAGTAGGGGGTGGGGTGTCCCGCGATGCTGGCAGAGGGACCGACACCGAAATGACAGTCTAAGATTTTTGTGCAGTGTTTCAGCAGAAATTCTTTTTATGAAAATAACCTGTAGTTGTAACGACGGTAACATTTTTGTGAATCTGGCTTCCTTTTATCAGTATGCTTGTAAGACCAAAACTGTGCTGATTGACATTTTGAGCCTTCGCATGCTCTCTGGTCAGCGCTGTCATTCTTCCCTAGTTACAGGGATGTTTTTAATCACATGCACGCACTGTTGTGATTGAAAGGTGTAAGTAGTCTTAATTTTGCTGATACTTTATGCCAGTACTATATGCAGTCACATGTGGTATTACACGGAATTGTGATTTACGGGTAACAAAAGTACAAAAAGCTTGACTGAGGATTCCAGTGACCTGGGCCAGGAGGAGGTCTGTGGGGTGGGGGCTGTGACGGCAGGTGCTAGTGTACTGGGTGCCACCTGTCCTGGTGACTGTGAGCAAGGCTGCATGTGCCCGGCAGAAGGCACCGGCTTGTGGCTGACGCTGGCTGTGCGGCAATCCCTCCTTAAATCTCTGTTTATTTAGCATTTACTTAGGGGGTAAAGAAAAACTACTTTTCTCTTAAAAAAATGCAGTTCTTTTTCATGATTTTAAAATAAGGGCCAGATTGTACTGAATATATTGTTTGCCTTTTGAAGTTTTATTTCAGTTTTTCTGCCGCTTATAATTTTATAATATTGCCTCTCATAGCCATTAGCAAAAGAAGTGCTGAGAAAATGATGTTCATACTATGTTTAAATTTCTGTGAGAGAAATTTGCTACATTCACTCAATTATGTTTTTTAGTAGTTAGAATTTTTCCCTCAAGGGCAAAATTCTTTTAAGATTTTACTTAAATAGTTGATGATAGCTGTATTTAGTAGTATAGTTTAATACACTTTTATCTTAATGGCTTGGAAGCATGAAAATCTTTATATACAATGTTATATTCAGTGTGTTTATGGTGAGTTGTTAAGATCGGCCGCCATATGTGCATACATTTCTGATGCAAGAAAGATAGACATGGAGCTGGCTGTGTATGAGCTCCAGAAGCTCTTTACCAGCAAGACATTTTTCTAATACAAAGAAATTTGTCTTAAAAAAGTGGAGATGGAAAAAAACCCCAACAAAACCAAAACCCAACCAAAAACCCACCCTTCCCCCAAAAAAACCACACACCAGAAAACAGAAAAACTGTGGAGATGCTAAAGTTATAGTAGAGGCATTTTTATGAAAATAATTACTGTGTTACAGGGTTTTTGCTAACTGCGTAATCCTCTTTTATACTAGCTTCTTATGCCCACTATGTGTGTATTAAAGTATCTTCTTGTTGCTGTTAGGTGCTGTCGAGTCATAGACGACTCATAGCGACTCTATGAACGAATGGCCTGAGCACTGTTCATAGAGTTTCTGGAGGCAAGCTGTTACGGCAGTGGATGCCACTCCTGCTTCAGTGTTTAGCATCACAGCAACCACGAGTTAACTCTGTACAGCAATGCACAGACCAGTGCTCTACCACCTAGAAGAATGTTTGACAGAAAAACAATTTGAACCAGGCCTGAGGGCCGCAGATTAAAATCACTCACCTTGGGCTAATGTATGCTATTTCAGTTTGTAACCTGCAAGAAAATACTGTAATGCTTATTATTGTGCTAAGCACTTTATGTTGATTGCTGTTGTTGTTGTTGTTGTTAAGTGCCATCGAGTCATAGGCTACTCATAGCAACCCTGTGAATGAAAGACCTGAGCACTCGTATGGCTCTCATCCTTCTCCAGGTTCATAGGGTTTCTGAAGGCAAGCTGTTTTGGAGGTGGATGCTGCTCCTGCTTCCAAACCTGAATTAATCAGGGAGCTCCAACAAAAGCTGCCCATGATGGGTAGCCATTTATGGTGTTTGACACACCTATGGCACAATTGTCCATCATCGCAGCAACTCTATGTTATTTCAGTAGAGCAAATAGAGAAAGAATAGGAAAAAAAACCAACCACACGGTCCACACAGATTCTCAAGCAAAATGAGAGCGCCATCGTTCAGGGTCCACCACTTCACCTAACTCCAAAATGGAGACAAGGGCCAGGCTTTATATGTTGCTGTTGTTGTCATTAAGTGTCATCGTATGGTGACCCTATAAACAAAAGACTCTAACCCTGTTCTGTAAAAACTGCCCTCTCTCTAAGTTCATAGAATCTCCACAGGCATCTTTAGGAAGTGGGTGCTTCCTGCTTCCAAGCCTCTCAATCTGTGAGCTCTACCAGACATTGTCAACCATGTGTAACTGTTATGGCAGTTAATGCACCGCTGGCACGCTGTTTAGTATCACAGGAATCCCAAGTTACCTAAGTACAGCGAAATGACAGAAAAGAGCTGTATCACACAAGAAATGTTCATTTGAAATACAATTAAATCAGATGACTTTAATCAAACGGCTTGTTTTAAAAAACCCCTCAGCTTCCACCCCTGTCTCTCATTGGTCCCAAGGAGATGTTCCCAGCCCACTCTCACCATGGCCCAAGAGGCCAGAGCCCTCTTATTTTTTTGTTTAATCACACTGTAAGTTTGACATTGTCACGGTGCCCATTTTATAGACAAGGTAAAAGCTGAAGGTATTTGCTCAAGGCTACCCAGTTAAAGGAACAGAAGAGTCAGAATTCAAAGCCTGGCAGTTTGGGTCCAGAACCGAAGTTTTAGCTGTACTTAGAACTGTAATAAAGACGTAGCTCTGTCCAGAGCTCTGGGGGCGCAGTGGTCAAGTGCGCAGCTGCCAAGCAGTTTGATCTCACCCTGTGGCTCTGTGCCAGAAAGACCTGTCACCTGCTCCTGTAGAGCCTGCGGCTTGGAGGCCCCGTGGGCTGTGCTGTCCTGTCTGTCATGCACTTAGAGTCTGAATTGACCTCCAACAGTGCACAGCGATATGCTGTATGTATTGCGCTGCACAGTAAGTTAAATTATAGCCAAAGGATAGAAGAGTCCATAAGTGATCTTGCTTTAAGGAGAAAAGTGTTCAGTCTTTTTTTTTTTTTAATAATTTTAATGAACATTTACAGAGATTTTGGATTTCCATTCATTCATTGCTGCACTTCTCTCCCCGCCCAGCCCTCCCCCTCCACCCAGTTCGCTCCTCTCTTTGAAAAGTAAAAGAAAAAAAAAGTAAAAGAAAAACTCCCTCCCTGGTACACAATCCCCCTGCACCCCTCCCATCACCCCAAGTACCTTCCACTATACAACCTTAATTGTGGACTCTTATGATAACCATAATACCCTATCATACATCACTTTTAAATTATTCTCTTCCTCATCTGTTTCAGTGCAGTATATACACAATTTATCCAGTTTTTCTCAGTCTTAACCCCAACCCTGATATCAGTCCCATTTTACAGCAGTGGCACCATGCAGTATTTGTCCTTTTGTGACTGAGATATTTCACTCAGCATAATGTCCTCTGGGCTCACCCATTTTGAATAATACTGCATGAGTTCCTTGATTTTCAGTGCAGTGTAGTATTCCATTGTGTGAATATACTACAGCTTCTCTACCCATTCGTTTGTTGATGGGCATCTGGGTTGTTTCCAACTCCTTGCTATTGTGAACAAAACTGCGATAAACATGGGTGTGCATATATCCACTTGGATGTCAGTTATGGTCTCTTTGGGATATATTCCCAGTAGTGGAATTGCTGGGTCAAATGATATCTCTATTTGCAACTTTTTGAGAAAGCGCCATACCGCCTTCCACAGGGGTTGCACCATTTTACATTCCCACCAACAGTGAATCAGGTTCCAGTTTCTCCACAACCTCGCCAGCATTGGTTGCTTGCTCAGTCTTTTTAAGGTGGCAGCTGCTCTTCATGACACTGATTTTGAGCATCCTAGGAGTCCTTAGGGAGCTCTGGTGGTTAGTGGTAAGGAATTACACTGCTGATGCAACGGTTTGTGGTTTGAGGCCACCAGCTCCTGCACAGGAGAAAGATGAGCATTCTCCTCCCCTACAGTGAACTGTGTTTCAGAACCCTCTGTGGGTCAGTTCTGCCATGACAGTCCACCACCACCACATCAGGAATCCATAAGCAGTTACTCATCTGTTCTTAGGCTTTTTAATTACTTAGTAGTTGCAGGAACTTCTGAAGTCATGTTTGTTGTAGAGCATTGGAATGATTGTCTTCTGTAAAACACTACTTGGTTCTTTGTAGGTGTCTGTTGCTTACAACTCCTTAGACTTTGAACCGGAAATTTTCTTTGCCTTGGGATCTCCAATTGCCATGTTTCTCACTATTCGAGGAGTGGATAGAATAGATGAGAACTACAGACTTCCTACCTGTAAAGGATTCTTCAATATTTATCATCCAGTGAGTACATGCAATTCATTTTGCATATAAACCTGTTGTTTATATCTTGATTGATTCTCAGAATCTTATGTCTTAGACGTTAATACTGATCTTGATTTTTGTGTGGCTCAACCTCTGCCTTAAGTCTTCAGCTAAGGGAGCTCTGGTGGCCTAGTGCCAAGAAGCTGCAGTGCAATCCCGAAGGCACGCAGTTCAAATCCACCGATGCTCAGCTGAAGGAGGAGGAGAAATCTCCTTCTGTACCAGTCAGACCCGACTTGACAGTACACAACAAGGGGGGAAAAAAGACTAGCTGGATATATCCCAATCAACTTTTCTATCAAAAACTTTTGTGTCTGGAAAGAATTCTCTTACTTTGCTTCTAAGAATCATTTTACTTGCAAATTTCAAAAGTCTGCTTACAGTCATACTAATATTTCAGTCAGGTGTGAAAAATGTCTAGTTTTCCAGTTAATCATTTTCACCTAGTTCATGTATGAAATGGAAGACAGGTCTTCATGGATTGTCAATTCTTCCTTTTACAGCTTGACCCTGTGGCATATCGACTAGAACCTATGATTGTTCCAGATTTGGACCTTAAAGCAGTTCTCATTCCACATCATAAAGGCAGAAAAAGACTTCATTTAGGTAAAAGCAAAAGAATACTAATTTAAATTCCTTCCTGTGACTTTCTACTCCATGGTGAATTATGGCCGCCTAACATTAAAGTCCTTCCTGATGGAATTGATATTATTTAAGCTCTTAACATATACAACACTTTTTTTTTCTCACTAAATATTGAGAAAAATTCTAAAGGTAAGGTAGGAATGAGTTTCTTCTCCTAGGTGGATTTACATTTTAATTGCTTCACTAATGAGGAATGAGAAGAAGTTGGTAAGAAGGTGATAAGGTACTTAATTATAGATTGTGATAGAGTTTGGTTATTGTATTTGGAATTGGGAAGAGGAGAAACATTTGAACTAATGACCAAACCATCAAGAGATACATTGGATAATCTTAAGTCAAGGGAACTTTTTTTTTGCTATTGAGACAAACTTTTTCTAGAAAAGATTCATTAAAGGTAATGTATTGATAATTATTCCAAGAGGAAATTAGGCTTCGCTTAGGCCCATTAATAGTCTCTCTTAGTAATCCATAGGTTTAAAAAGCTGTTGGTGCAAGGACATGGAGAGGAGAAGAGAAAGAGACGTGACCATGCCCTATTTTTAAAAAGCAGATGTGTTTGTTTTGGCTACCATCATGATTTTTCAAAATATTTAACTCTGGTGAGGCAAAAAGGAGAAATCTGAGAATTTAAGGACCTTGAATTCAGGTATGATTAGGTAAAAGCAGAAGCCAAGGGGTGGGAGTGCCTTCACATTGGAGTTAGAGTTTAATTTGTAGTTATGTCAGTATCTCATAATCTTAAAACCATTTGGCTGGTGGCATAGCCCATAGGGAGTTGCACTGCTAACCAAGGCTGCGCTTTCTGGAGGTTCGAATCCACCTGTGGCTCCACAGCAGAGAGGTGGGCAGTCTCCTCCTGTGCAGTTCACAGTCTCACAAACCCATTTGAAGGTCAGGGGAGTCGGCTCCAACTTGACAATGAGAGAGATTAAAGATTAGAAAAACAGTGATCTTAGAATAGAAGATGACGTTCGTGTGCTTGTGTTTTTACTGTTTTTGAATTTATTTTTTAAGTTTTTAATAAGACTTCCCAGGCATAATTTTAACATCTTGTAACTTCTTCGATACGAAACCCCACATGTATTTGAAATTTAAGTGAGGGTCACCTGAGGAGAATGTTAACTGTTGTTTTGAGTTTTGTGGTGTAGAATTTTGCCTGGTGGTTGATCACTTTGGTATGCCCTCTTTTTTTCTCTTCAGAGCTGAAAGAAAGCCTCTCTCGGATGGGGTCTGACTTGAAGCAGGGCTTCATCAGCTCCCTGAAAAGTGCTTGGCAGACCTTAAATGAGTTTGCCCGTGCTCATACCTCTTCAGCTCAGTTACAGGAGGAACTGGAGAAGGTTGCCAATCAAATCAAAGAAGAAGAAGAAAAGCAAGTGGTTGAAGGTGAATGTGACATTTAAAGCGTTTTTTTTTTTGCAAAACAAGTATGTTCATGAGCAAAGCAGTCAATTTAATGAGACTTACCCTGTCTTAGTAATTTTTGTTAAAATGTAAACACCCTTTTAAGGAATGTCTGTTATGATTGACTGGCAATGTGTTGCTTCAGAAAGCTTGTCATCCTTTTAAACTGGGTTTTTACCTAACATTCTACTCGGCTTTGTGCTGTGTTTTCTCTGTTACATTTTGTTGACGTTTGTCAGACTAGTGTGTGCTGTTAACCGAGAATCCACTCTGGAAGGTGATCTCCCGCCGCTGCCGTCTGTCTGTCATTACAGCCTGTGTGGTGTCATGTTGCTGAGCTGTGGCGATTCTCACTTTTTCATTCTAACCCTACTTCCTCTTTCTACACTATTCTCACTCCTTTTCTCCTCAATGTTTGTCAGCTTGTTGGCCCTTTCTCCTCTCTCATGGTCACAGCCCCACTTTCCTCGGCTCTTTGAAGGACTGGGAAGTGAGCCTGGTAGCTATGTGTATCAAGGAGTGTTCTTATTGAGCCTGGAAAGTCAACTAAAGTCAGCGGATAATGATTCAGTGATTGACTTATTGAAATGGTTTAAATTCTAGCGGAAAAGATTGTTGAAAGTCCAGATTTTTCCAAAGATGAGGACTACTTAGGAAAGGTTGGAATGTTAAATGGAGGCCGCCGAATTGACTACGTTCTCCAGGAAAAACCAATAGAAAGTTTTAATGAATATCTTTTTGCTCTTCAAAGTCACTTATGTTATTGGTAAGTATTTTCAATTTTTGTCTTGCATGAAATTGATCACATTTTATTAGTTTGTATAGCAACTGCTTAGTACTTTAAGACTTTTTCATTGCTTCCAAATACAGCCGTTTTAGGAAGATTTTTTTACTGATTTATCATTTATTTTTGAATACTTGGGCTCCAGGATATGAAAAACTAGGCTTTTCCCTTTTTTGTTGTCCACAAGGTGGCAGTATGTCATCTGCCTTTGACCAGAAAGGCCTTTGGGCTGGAGCACATTTTCTGTATGGATGCCTGTCATAGAGTTTGAGTGGTAGGGACTCGGAGAAAGCCATCCTCCTGTCTGGGTCATTGTCACTGAGGGGGACTGTGAGCTCACCAGGGCCCGGCCGGTTTTGAGGACACAGTATTTTCATTTACCTTCTTAGAGTTTACGAGAACAAAAGTGTCATTTTCTGTCTTTGTGTGTAAAGATTAATTTCTGCTAATTGTCTACGTTTTTCCACCCCAATAGGGAATCTGAAGATACGGCCCTGCTGTTACTTAAAGAAATTTATCGAACAATGAGCATTAGTCCGGAGCAGCCACAGCATTGACAGGCTTCAGCATCACAGTGCGTTTGTTTTCATTGGCTTGATTCCATGTGCTTCTGTGCTGGTTTTCTGAATCTATTGTTGCCCATCATTTTATCTTTATTCTCTTCGGTTTCCTCTGATTTTATTTGTTTATTCTAAAGAATTCTTTCTGGAAAGATGAGAGGTGGCTTGTATATGTTTCTGAGAGAAAGTATGTGTGTAGTTTCAGTTTTGTTTTTCTGAATGGGTTGTACGCTTGGTTCAGCCTTTAAAGGTGACAGAAGCCACCTCCTTCCCCTAGTTTCTCTGAAGAGTACAACCAGTTGTCCAGGTTTTATGTACCTTCCAGATGTGTCCTAATAGTTCCTTAAAGCTGTCACTGTGTGTTTGTACACTGGGGTTTTTTTTGTATTCTGGAGATTCTGTATCCATTCATCCACCCACCTATGCACCTGTCTTTTTTTCAGTCCACCTAACCATCTTCCCATCCGTGAACCTGCCCATCTGGCCATCTGCCAGCCATCCTTTTAGTCCACAGGGTGGACCAAGCGGAGTCTTTGCCCTCCGGGATCTGCCTACCTTGAATGGACAGTAAATTAGTGGTTGGTGAAGCCGGATGGTGCTGACAGCTATTGCTGCTGTGTAGGAAGTGATCAGGGAATGTGGTAGGATGAAGACAGTTGAGCAGGTGAGCCAGGTGGATGTCTCAGTAAAGGAGGTCATTTCAGGCAGTGAGAAAACTCAGAGCTGCCTCGGTTGTAACCAACATGGAGTCATTTACTGATTGCTGCACTGGTTTTGTTTCACTGGTTATGTCCTTGTTAGGGGCCGTTGAGTGAGCTCTGATTCTCAGTGACCCATGTGCAGCAGAATGACACATTGCTGGGTCTGCACGTCCTCCAGCAGGCTGCTGTGATCGCTCACATTGTTGTTATCCTAGTGTTTTCCTGGGGTACTGCTTACAGGCAGTGCTGCGATGGTACATGGCATCAGAAGTATGTTACATTTCATGTTATGACTTCCTAAAACATTTCATCTTATTGTTGGACACTCAGGTGATTTTCTGATTTTTCATTATTAGAAATAATTATGACCTACATACTCTGTGCATCTGTATTTGCGTGACATACATTTTTTAAAAGTAGCATTGTTGGATGAAAAAATATCACATAATTTAAAAGACTTTGATCCATACTTGCTGCTACAATACATTCCATACCCATCATTATATAAATGCTTATTCCTTTATATCCTTGCCAACATTATTTCTTTCCCAACATTATTTTTCCCCAACATTTTTTTAAAATTTTGCCAATTTGGTAGCCAGACATAACGATATAATTTCTTTTATTTGCATTTCCATTGTTAGTGAAATTTAGCGTTTGGTGGTTCTAATTTTGATATTTGTCAGTTGTCCGTTTCTGACCTTTGTGCGTTTCTCTGTAGGTTTGGTTTATTTTTGTTTCTTTTGGATTCATAATTATGATATTTAAGTATATTAACTAATCTTGTGTCATCACAAATACTTTAATCTGATATTTGCCTTTTCTTTTAACTTAAGTTTAGGCTTTTTTTAGCGGGTGGGAGAGATTTTAAAAATATGTACTTTGTGAAGGGAACAGAGGGAGAGGGGATGAAAAAGAAAGAAAAAAAATTTAAAAATAAAAAATAAGGGGAGCTCTGGTGGCCTAGTGGCAAGGAGCTGCAACTACAATCCTAGAGGCGCACAGTTCGAATCCACCAGATGCTCTGCCGGGGAAGGAGGAACAATCTCCTCCTGTACCAGTCAGATCTGATTTGATGGTAAACTCACGCAAAAATAAAAAAAATAATGTAGATGCCCTTTAAAAGGATTATTTAGATACTTTAAATTTTTCTTTTAATCCTTTTATGTTTGTTTTATCAATTTGAATTTAGAGTTAAGAGCTTAGCTCTTTTTATTTTTAAATTTTTTTTTTTTTTAAATTTTTATTATTTCTGTGTGAGCTTACCGTCAAATCAGATCTGACTGGTACAGGAGGAGATTGTCCCTCCTTCCCCAGCGGAGCATCTGGTGGATTCGAACCATGCTCTTCTGGGATTGTAGTTGCAGCTCCTTACCACTAGGCCACCAGAGCTCCCCTAGCTCTTTTCTTAAATAGCTCATTTTCTCCTGCATCATGTAATGAATTATGTGCCTTTTAACACTGATACAAGGAGCCCTGGTAACACAGTAGCTAAGCTCTTGGCTACTAACTGAAAGATTAGTGGTTCAAACCAACCACCTGGCCCAAGGGAGAAAGATGTGGCATCTTCTTTCATGACGATCAGAGCTTTAGTGCTGCTCTGGGCAGTTCTGCCCTGTCCTGTGGGTTGATAGGGTTTTTTGGTGGTCATTAATACATACCACCTGCATATTTTCTAGGCTTCCTCATTTCGTTTATTGACATGCTTCTGTGTATACAAAAGTTTATTGGTTTCAAATCCTGTATTTTGGACAATTTAGCATCTTTTTAATTCTTTTTTCTTTTTTTCTCTGTGTTCTGTTGACTCGGATCCAGCTGCCACAGGAGGAGATTGCCCCTCCTTCTCCAGCATAGCATTTGGTGGATTCAAAGTGCATGCCTTTCAGATTTGTAGTGCAGCGTTTTGCCACTAGGCCACCAGACCTCCTCATTTAAGCATCTTTTAATGTGGACTGTGTCTTAAAATTGCTGGCTTCCCATTGTACCTGGATGGAATTGATTTCTCCTCCCTATTTTCATTTGCCACTGGGGGGCGCTGGCAGGCTGCATAAATTGCTTCTAACCTAACTTCTTTCCTGGGGCTGCCCTGGTGATGGGATTGCAGGCCATGGCGTTTGCAGCAGGCACCTGCTCAGATTTCCAGATTGTTTTGCTGTTCCATTGTCAGAAAAGCAATGTGCAGGCTTCTTTCCACGGAGTCTTCTTTTTTTCTCCTTTCGGGTTTCTGTTTTTGTGGGGTCTCTGCCTCACAGCGATGGTGGGTTGGGGCAGCCAGGCAGTGTTTCCGTCTGTTGTTAAGTCATGTCCCAGTGACTCCGAGCCGGCTTGGCAGGATCTACCAGCCGCATCCTGGGCTCTTTCGCTATTACTGTAGAACACCTGCCACTCCAGGTTCTCAGCCTCCCGGGGCATTGCTGCTACTGCAGATGAATGTCGGGATGACTTGGTTCTAGTCCTTTGATACACCGGTCAGAAACCTCAGCCAGGAACAAAATGACACAGACAAAACCCCAACCAGCAACAGTAACACAAACCAAACCCCAAACAATTTGAAACATTCTTTTTTTTTTAAGTATCTTACATTTATTAAATCCAAACTTCACTTAACAGAATTGCCACAGATGGCATCTATTAATAATTTGAAACATTCTTAATGTTCTTTTGAACATTCTTTTTATTATCACACATGATTTATTCACCTGTGATTCTTTCTTATATTTCTGTGTCAGTTTTTAGTCTATAAAAATTGAGGTGTGCCTTAAGCAGTTCTTTTATCTTTGGCTCATTTAGGCTGAGATCAGGGAGTGTTTTGCTTTGAAAAGCCTCACGCTTAACCTGTTATTTTATACCCCAGGCTCTTGTGATGAAGTCTGCCTGGCTGATGGCTAGTCCACTTCCCGAGCTCTCTCCTGTGAGCCCCCTTGTCCCTGTGGCTGCCTATCTGAGTCTTGTGTTCACAGGGTGGTTCCTTGGGGCAGTGTATAGTGTCTGCTAGTAGTCTTGAACACTCTATTCAGTCTCTACTTCAGAAAGGAACTGCACGGGCATTGTTACATGGTTATTGTAAGCTTGCAAAGTTCACTGGTTCACTGAGAAGTCTTTCTGTCTTTTTTAAAAGTTTGTCTTCACAGAACGTTCCAGCATAAATGACCTTGCTGAGGAAACCCCTGAGAAGCTTCTCAGTTTGCTTTGATGATGGATGACAGGAAAATGATTTGTCGACAACCTCTTGGAATATAATCCTCAAATGAAGGACTTCATTTAGGAGAAAAAACTCAGAACAAAAAGACCATGAAAAAACACTACTACATTTGGACAGTGTAAATGAGAAAATGCAATTCTAAACATGATGTAGTTAAAGATCAGACTATTTGATTGGTATAGTTGTCAAAGTATGTGGCTCGATGAAGGCATTTGTAGCATGCAGATGGTTATTTCTGTTAAACTCTTATTAGTGACTGTTCAGCTTGCACTTTTTAATGAATGCAGTATGCTCTTTCTATTCAAGTATGGACTTCTGGAGACATGATAGTACTGTGATTTTTTTAAGAAATCCACAACTGCTGTCCTTCCTGACTGTGAGTTTTCGTGTTGGCTGCTTTAGGGCAGGCTGCCTCGCGTCTACTGAGAGGTGGCAAGATCTCTTCTAGTGCACACTGCCTGAGGTTTTCATAAAGCCTTGCAAGATAGTGTGAACACCGTGAAGGCCGAGGGGTGAAGGCCTGCTCTGCTCTGCAGTTATTTGGAAGGAGGGAGAGGGGCCTCCAGACCAGGACTCACCAGTAGGAGAGAGAGCCTTAGAGCCAGGAGCCCCGGAGTGGGAGCCCCCAGCGGGAGAGAGAGCCCTGGAGCAGGAGCCCCCGTCGGGAGACACTGCTTCAGCCCCAGCAGTTGCCATGTCTCCTCGATTCCCATTTGTGCGAGAACCAAAGGCGAGGACTGATTTTTGCTTTGTATGAAATTTTACATCAAAATATTTGACAGTATGAACTCTGTTGCTTCTAGACTATAAAACTGCTTCATGCAAAGATTGCCTGTAATAGTTCCCTTTGTTTGATTGTAAATTCAAATTATCTACATATTTTCCTAATCTTCAGTAAGAATGCTGGTTCTCCTCTTTTCTTGAGTAGAAATATTTTACATGGTTTACATAGTTCTCATGGAACATGGAATTTTTTGAAAAGCAGCATATAATACACATTTTTCGTGTATATATTCCAATTAGTGTGAATAAAACTGTAACATCGATGTATTTTTTAAAAGCAGCAAACATCTGTTTGTCTTGTCTTCCTTAAG